TCATTCTTTCCGAAAACATTTCTCAAAGTCAGACCCCCAGGTGTTATTCTCCTTTGCAGGAGGAGACAAGGATGACAGAATGAGATCAGTCCCAGCCTGGGAGGTCACAATCAACTAAGGGAAATAAGAAAGGTCCATGAATAATTACAATAGAAGGTTGGATGCTGTCCAAACAGGTTACAGTCCCTCCCCCCAGGGCACTTCAGAAGTCGCCTTAGGTGTCTTCTTAGGGTCTACAGAGCTTTGGGAACACAGCTCAGGCCAGAAGCTAGAAAACGTGGTTCCCACCCCTCTCCCTCCGCCCCCAAGGAAGCAAGTGGAGACGCCTCACCTGCGCGTGCACATGCGCAGGACAAGCTCCTCACTCAATTTCACGTTTCTCCCCCGAGCACACCTGTAACTACAACTCCCACGATCCTCTGCGCCTCGAGCTGCCGCACTTCCGGCTGGGGCTGTAAACAGCGGTGAGTCCAAGTTGGGCCGACAGCCCCAGCAGTGGAGAGGGGGATGGCGGGGCTCGTCCTGTCCGGGGTCCCTGGAGCTGGAACGGACGCCGGGGCCTGGGAGCCTGGAAGGAGGGGCCTCGGCCGCCGCTGAGCGGGCCGGGCCGGGCATGGGGAACTGCCTGTCGTCGCAGCGGTCCGGCACCAGAGCTGGGGACGAGGCGGGGGCCAGAGCCGCAGACGACCTGTCGCTGCTCAACGACTCCGGGGACGGGAACAACTTTCCCGGGGACCCGCCGCCGCTGTCGTCGCCACAGCCCCCGCCGCCCTACAGGGTGAGCATCGCGCCGGACGGGCCGGGCTGGGAGCCGAGGAGCCGAGGCATCTGCCACCCCCTGCGCCCCAGAGAGGCAGGGAAGGGCTGGGCACAGGAGGACCCCGGGCATCTGCCATGCCCCCAGCACCCCACAGAGGCCGGGCAGAACTGGGAAGTATCTGCGAGTACCGCCAGGGAGGCTAGGCAGAACTTTGACGAGGGGAATTCTGGCATTTGCCACCACCGACCCACTGCCCCAGAGACAGAGCAGAACTGGGGAACAGGGGCCCTTGAGAATCCACCCCAAACCACCTAATTTCCCATAGAGACAAGGCGAAGTCAGGCGGAGGAGACCTCAGGCATCTTACCCACCACCCCCAAGAGAGGTAGGGCTGGGTTGGGCACAGGGAAACCCTGGCCATCCACCACCACCCACAGCCTTGAGGGTCAGGCCGAACTGGGGACAGGAGGACCCCAGCTGTCCACTTCAACGATCCCGAGGGTCAGGCTGTGCTGGAGAGAGAGTAAACCTTTGGAATCTACTCCTTTCACCCTAAAGAGTGAAGACAGGACATGGTAGAGCAGAGGGAAAGGGGAAAAAAATGGGGTGGGGGGGGGGGGGGGGTGACCATGGAATTTGCCAAACTAGGCCAGGTCAGGACTGGGGGCAGGAGGACTGACTCCAGGAATCCCAAAACAAAAGAAACACAGAAGCCCTCCTATTGAATAAGATCATTAGGCAGTGGAAACAGCACAAGATTCAGAAAGGAGACCTGTTTCAATTGTCTCTGCCAGTTACTAGCCCCATGAACTTCGCCAAGTCCCTTCCCCTGTATTTTCTTCTTTAGAAAATAAGGGGGTCAGATTAAAGGCCTCTCCAACTCTAGATCCTATGATGAGACATAGAGACAGTAATGGACTGAGGTAGGGCTATGGGCATGAAGGGATGAGGTCTCAGGCCCGTTCATGGAATAGAGCACTTGATTTTGTGAGTAATAGGATCCCTAGGGAACCAGAGAGGAGGTTCAGAGGATACATAGCTCATAGGTCCCCTTAAAACAGACCTCGAGCTAGACCACTTGAGGCCTAGATAGGGGGCTACACACAGGCAGGTTGAAAGATGAGTTCTCCAGAGACAAATTGCTATGTACATCCTATCCCCATCCCCCCCAGGGACGGGAGCCAATCCCAGTGTACCACCGATCTCCAAGCCAGAGCCGACTGGCCACACAGCTCACAGAGGAGGAGCAGATCCGCATCGCCCAGAGAATTGGCCTCATCCAGCACCTGCCCAAGGGCATCTTCGACCCTGGCTCTGAGGGGTCCGAAAAGAAAATGAAAGAGTAAGGGTGGGGAGCAGGATGAAGATGCCCCAGGCTCCTGAAGGGAATGTTGCTGTATCCACAGCCTAGTCCTCCAGGGAGCAGAAATCTGAGACTCCTCAGTAGCTGAGGCTCTCAATCTTTTTTTCTTTTAGGAAGGAAGTCTGGGGAAATGCAGGCCCCTAAGACACACCCATTGTGTTTTTGACTGGATCCTGGAGCTCAACCCCAACTGGGCTGTTTATGGAGCTCCCTGTCTATGTCCCGTTCCCCCATCCCAGTTCTAGCTGCTCTTAAAGGGCAAGGTTTTGGGTCCCTCTCAAACTGTGAACTAAAGGGCAGGGCCAGGATCTCTACATTTCTGTTTTCTCCAGACCGATTCCTAAGAGCAAGGCCAAGGTCTGCCATTCCTTGTCTCCCCCAGGCTGAGCTCTGAGCTCTTCAAAGGCCGGCCTTAGTGTGTCCTCAATCAACAGTGTAGTTTGAGGCTGGTTACACGGGGTGGGGGGAGACCTCTGTGGCAATCAGAGCTGAGATGCTGGGCTGGACTAGCCTGGGAGTGGAAGGGGATTGGGTTGGGGATGGGTGAAGAGGCTGAGAACTGGTGCTATATATTCATCCATCCCTGGTCCCTGCAGGTGTGTGATCTGCATGTTGGACTTTGTATATGGGGATGCCATACGCTTCTTGCCATGCCTGCACACCTACCACGTCCACTGCATTGATGACTGGCTCATGCGCTCTCTCACATGTCCCTCTTGCATGGAGCCAGTGGATGCAGCCCTGCTTTCCTCCTATGAGACAAGCTGAGTTTGGAGCCTGGCAGTCAACATGTCCCCTGGGCCTACTCAGGTGAGCCCCAGGGGAAAAGCAGCAGCCACTGAAGCTAGACATTTTTCACATTTGGGGAACATACCAAAGAATGCTGAAACTAGGCTGGCATCCACTCAAGAGGTGGTTGTTCCATGGATATCCTGGCCTGAAACAGACCAAGCTGACACTTCAGCGTCCCTAGCTCAAAGTTTGACTCTTTTTCAAGTCAAGTAACTAGTTACCTCCCCCACCCCACCATGGACTATTTTTACTGCTAAGTTTTTAAAAATGATGTGGAAAGCTTAATCTTTGTTTCTCAACCCCATAATGATGAGCCCTGGAGCCCAGTACCTAAAGCTTCCCCTAGGGGTGATGGGAGAGGGAGCGGTTCAAATCCTAATTCCAAGAGTCAAATGTCCAATGTGGCTAAAGCCCAGTGAGGATTGGGGTGGTAAGGGTGCAGGAGGAACAGATTACATTGGTCCTTCTCTGCTTGGGACTTTGCTGGTGGGACAATGAAAACTAGGCAACTTTTACTAACAAGCCTGATTATTTTGGATTTTCCTTTGAACCTGCCTCCATTACTATCTGGGGATGTGAGAAGGGATCATTAGTCTCTCTTCTTCTACCTCACTCTGACTAGACATTTTGGGGTTAGCATGCTAGAACCTCCTGAGTTGGGTCAACTTTGGTCAGTCACAATATCTGCGCTCTGTTCTTTCATAATCCTGGGAGATGGGCAGAAGGGGATTGGGGGTATTCATCTGTCCTTCCCCTACTCCCTGGACAGATTGAATCTTATTTGCCTTAAAGGCCTTGGTTTTGAGCTAAGGACAATGGGTCATGCATGACCCACTTTGGGGAACAGGGTTCTTAGGTTTGGGGTTTTTTTTCTAAAGCTAAACTAATTCTGTGGAGCAGGGATGTAGAGAGGGAAGCAGCATGACATGGTTTCATACATATGGCTCACCTGAGGAGGAACTACTGCCTTCAACATAGCCAAGACAACCCGCCCCCCCCAACCCCAGGGCATAGCCCTCCTTTCTGCTGGCAGGGGCTCTTGCCCCAGTCATTTGGGTGTCCCCAGGCCACCCTCAATATAGGGAAGGGTAACTAGAGAGGAGCCTCAAATGATTATCTCTGGGCTAGTTCTAGTAGAAGAGATGAACAGGGCCCCTGATCATGTGGAAGACAAGCAATAAAATGTGTTGCACATAAAATGGGACCCCTGTGCTGTCTGAAATGGGAATCAGGGCTGGAGAAAACCTTCAAGAGCATTCAGTCCTGCCAGAGTGCCAGACCCAAAGGAATAAGATTAAGCCTAAGCACAAGACCTATGGTCTTGTTAAAGCCACCAACAGGACAGAACTTCAGAGTTCAGGCTCCCTGGGGAAGATGAATGACAAGACTCCAAATCTGTGTGGGTTCCTTGGAAAGGATGGTCACAGCCTGTCGCAAGCACACTGGTTCTACCGAAAAACCTGAGCAGAAAACTATAGCTTGGTTCAGCTCACTCCAAACAGTTGGTAGAATTATTCTCCCCACTTATGAACAAGCTTAGGGCAGTGTTTTCTCTGTAAGGAGTAGAATCTTGAAGGGTGTTGAAGTCTTTTCTTACACTGAGCTCAGATCCTATCTGATGCCAGTATGTTCCTGCTGAACCAAGGGGCAGAGCTCAAGAAGCCTGGGGCCTTATATCCACAGCTGGTGAAGTAAGCAATTAAGGCTATTTAGGATACTGATTGTCATAGAGCCTGGGCCATTCCCAGAAATCAGCTGGCAGAGAACCTAGGGTATCAGCAGACTTCATTCTCCCTGAGGCCTGGCAGTTAAGAGGTGAAATCAGGAGAGACAGCTAGCCAATGTGTTTTCTGAGTTCAAATCCAGACTTTCTGCCCCTTACCTTCTAAAAGTGTGACCCTGAGCAAGTCATATCCTTTGTAAGCTGCAGTTTCCTCATTTATAAAGGAAAGGATCAGACTAGGTAGATTCTAAGGTCCCTTCCAGCTCAACATCTATGAGCCTGTGATCTCAGGGACTCCAGCTTAGAATAAGCTAGCCGGCAGGGGACAGAAGCTGCCTCCAGAAGGAACACATACAGGCAGCTCTTAGATCACTTTTTTATTTTCATTTAAAGTCAGCATTTTTAAACATTAATTCCTTGGGTAAAGGTAAAGGGGGCCACACAAAGGGACATGTGTGGGGGGAGAGAAAGGGAGCCAGAAGTAGGAAAAATGACCAGTGGCTACTCCAAGTTCAGACAAGCAGAGCAGCACCACAAGAGAGCAGGAACTACACCCTTACCACCCCCCTGCATCCTGAAGCATTACCTCACTGTCCAGGGACAAGCACCATCCATGCTACTGGAGGGGAAAGGGGCCTTTTAGGAAGAAAAGGGAAAGCACAAGGAGCAAATGCCCCAACCAGCCTTGGGGGGGAGAGGGTGAAACTTGCCCCCAAAGCTACCTAGGACATTAAACTGGGATAGGACAGAAACATCATTCAGTGGTAAGGGACAGTCTTCACTCCCCAGTCAGGTTCACTTTCCCTAGCCAAAGGGCAACAGACACACGCTGGGTCAAAAGAATTGTCCCTTCAACATTTTCCCAACACAACACACAAGAAACACTTGCCCCACCACACTTCCCCAGGCACCTAAACACAGGCTGAAGGGGATATTACAATAAAGGCAAAAATCAAAAAGTTAAATTTGAGGTGTCCCTGAAACATGGCCTTAGACAAGAGCCTTCAGAGGAAAATACATACTCAAAAAACATCACATTTATGAAAGGGATGCAATGGGGCAAGCAAGAGGTTTAAGTTTTGGAGTGGGCCAGGGGGAAAGGGGCTCAGAAATATGGAAACTTGGATTTAGGGCATGTGGATACCAAGTTATTTTTAAAAATAAGTTTTAGAAGAGTCTTGCTTCACCTGAAGGTGAGGGGGTTGGCACAGATACTGGCCTCACAGCAGGCCAACCAGTTACAATAGAAGTCTCTGATGTTGAAACTCCCTTTGAAGGTCATAAAGACTCAAAGGGGCCCTGGAGAAAGGGGTAAGGACATCTGGGGGAGGGAGAAATAGAAGACATGGGGAAGAGAATAAATGTCACAGGAGACTTGGGCAGAGGAAAGAAGTCAATCTAAAGAAAAAGTGAGGAACACCGTCAAAACTCCACTGAACTCCATTATCCAGTGCCACCTGCCAACCCCACCCAAACTGCCACAGCCCAGTACATTACAGGGTAATAAAACAGGAGCTAGGCTGCTAAGAGCCCCAGCAAAATCCCATCTCCAGAAAGAGGGGTGTTTCTGACAAGCCCTTACCATACCCAGGGGACAGAGATGGTTTACCAAAAGATACCACTGAGTCTATCAAACCAGAAGGGCCCCTAGAAAAGATGACAGCACCAACACAGGCCCTGGGTACAACTCTGGGAGAAGTCATTCTCAAATTTCCTAACCTGTCTTTTCAATAAAAAAAAAAAAGAAAAGAAAAAAGAAGAAACAAAAATCCTCCAACTATTTAGTTGATTCTTTACTTCCCAGAAGTGATGGGGAAGAAAGGGGGGGGGGGGGGGGAGGGCCGGGACAGGGGGGGGGGGAGGAGGAAAAAGATTGAGAGAAACAGTAAACCACATACTAATAAGTCTCAGAAGTCAAGTGCTCAAGGTATAAAAAGTCTTGAAGAATCATCTGCTGGCGCCAGAAAGCTACAAGTTTGTCTTCTGTGTTTTGAGTCCTTGGTGAAAATGCTATTGTTCTTTTGCTGCGTTAAATAAGTATGTACAATGCAGAAAGTCCTTGGCGGCAAGAGTTATTTCACCAGGGGCCGGGTTTTGTCATCATCACTGCACTGATGTGCCTTGTATTTTTTCACTTCCGCCATGTACTTGGCCCAAGCGTCTCCTTTACTTGTCATAACCTGGGGAGCAAGGGACAAAGGGGGGAAGACAGGCACAACAAGCCATGAGACTTAGAAGCAAAGGGCTTCAGGATGCATAAGGCCCAGTTCTCCCCCTAGGCCTTAAACCCTGGTCTGCTAGATTAAGGAGCCAGGTTCACAGGAGCCTAGGAGAAGGTCCTTTCAGTTTTGAAGTCTGGACTTTTGTTGCAACCTTGGTGGGCCAGTCCTATTTCTCCCTTGAAGGAAAAGCCACCCCTAGACCCCAGGACTGCACATGCTTCAGGCACTCACCTCATCCTCCGTCTTCTGCTTCTTGGCTACTATTCCTGTCTTGAGGGCTAGCTTGTTCCCGCCTCTCCGCTTGCCCACCTGGGTGAAGGGATAGAAGACTGCAACCATTATAGGAGCCCTGGGGGCTGCCCTGGCGGCCATGTAGCCCACTATACAACGGGACAGGGAGTCCTGGCCTTAGATCATCTTAGCTCCTCATGCCTGTCGTGTAGTACCAAGCCGTTCCCAGCCTGGCCAACCTACGCAGCAATCAGAGAGGAGCACAAGGGACTTCTCAGGACGATGCAGCCCGAACCTGCTCAGTAAGCCCCGGCAGGGTAGTGAGCCTGACGATGAGCCTGGCTCCACCTAACACCGACCCGACCCCCATTCCCCGCCAGAGCTCTACAGCTAACCACAGAGATTAGATGACAGCCAGCTGCCCGCACCATTTGGTCATCTCAATCAATGGCTAGTCTTGGAAAGACCTGAAGGCCCCAGCTTCAGCTTCTGATGTCTCAGCATCAGAATGCTCGTTTCACGCACACCTTTCTTAGGCCGTCTCCCCTCCTTCCCGGCCCCGAGTCCCTTCAACAGCCTTCCAAGCCGCGGCACACCCGACCCTCCCGCCCCCTTCCATCCAGAGCAGGGGAGGCAGCAAAGGTCAAATTTGGGGGGTGGGGATGACACCAGAAGCGGGGCCCCGGCCGGGCCTCTCCTGGCTTTAAAAGGCGGGGAAAGGAGGTCCTGAGAGCGACGACCCCCACCCTCCCGGACCCGGTCCGCACCGTGGCCCTGGGATGGCCGGGCGCGCAGCGCCCGAGGGGAGGCCCGTGCTACGGGGCCCTCGGCGGCGGCGGCGGCGCCCGGCCCGCCCTCCCCCGCTCCCGGGATGGGCCCTCCCTCTGTCTGTCCCTCGGTCTCTCTGTCTGTCCCGGCGGCGCGGCGCGGCCCGTCCCGCCCTCCCGCGGGCGGCGGCTCCTTACGAAGCTGAGCGCCGCCGGGCCGGGCCCGCTCCTCCTCTTCGGCTCGCCGCCGCCGGCAGGGGTGGCGGCGGGGGCGGCGGCAGCCCCCGGGGGCGCGGGCGGCTCGTCCGGGCTCTGCTGCTGCTGCCGCTGACGCCGCCGCTCCTCCTCCTCCTCCATCTTCCGCTTGAACAGCTCCAGGAAGCTGCCGTCGTTGGCGAACAGGTTCACGCCCCCCGAGGCCGGGCCCGACGCCGCCGCCGCGTCCTCCTCCTCCTCCCCGGCTCCCGAGCCCGCCCCGGACTCGGCTCCGGCGCTGCCCGGCCCGGGCCACCGGCTCCCGCCGCCTCCGCCGGCGCCGCCGCCCGCGGGGCCCGACGGCTCCCTGCCCGCAGGCTCCGCCCGTCTCCCTCGGGCCGCCATTTTGTGACCAGGTGCCGCGCAAAGGAGGCTGGGAGGGCTTCGGCCCCGCGCAAAGCCCTCCCTCCCCGCGGCTTCCGGGCAAAGGATTCTGGGAAGCAACATCCTTTCTCTCTATCACCCCTCCCACGCCTCTCCCCTCCGCGCTTTCTCTTAGAGGGGAGGAGGCCTCTGAGAGTGACTCCTCAGTCCCTGCCCGTTATCCCGTCCGAGCCTCAGTTTCCCCATCTGTAACAATGTGTGTAGAGCTTAAATGTTTCTTCGTTTAGAGGGTCGGCCTTCCGAGTTTCCTTCCAAACCTAAACCCACCAATCCTAAATCGCCTGTACGACCTCGGGCGGCCCAAAGCAGTTTCTTTAATAGAAAGCGTGCCTCTTTCAGACACTTTGCCACATATGTGACCCTTGGCACGTTTAACCTCTCAGAGCTTGAGTTTCTGCCTGGGTGAAATGGGGATAATAAAACTTGTAACTCCTAGGGTTGTGGTAAAGGAATGCACATTGTGTAAACTTTAGAGCACCATATAAATGTGAATTATTATTGGGCACTTTAAGTCATTTCCTCTATCTAGAGCCATTTCTTCCTCAAAGTGCTGGTTGGTCTAAGAGACTATAGCCCCCATTCGTTGATTCACTCAAGAACCCTTTACTAAGTGCCTATGTACAAACCACCAAACTTTGACCCCCAGGAGGGACAGAAAAATAGACGTAGAGTCCCAGACCTCTAGTAAGTTTTTTTTTTCCTAGCAGAGAGAACAAATGAGTGAATGAAAAACATTTGTTAAGTACTTATTAGGTACTTACTCTTCTATACTATTTCACTTGGTGATCTCATCAGCTTCCATAGGATTCAATTAACTTCTCAATGCAGATAATTCCCAGATCCAGTGTCCAGCCCCAGCCTCTCTCATGACTTCACCTGCCTATTAGACATCTCAGACTGGATGTCTCCCAGGCATCTTAAACTCAACAAGGTTAAAAATGAATTCATTATTTCTCTCCCTCCCACCTTTCTTCTTCCTGATTTACTATCTTCATCCTCCCAGTCATCCAGACTGACAACCTAGATGGTATCCTCAACTTCTCATTCTCATCTCCAACATCCAATCAGTCACCAAATCCCTCCTTTTCTACCTTTCTAACATCTCTTATATGCCTTCTCTCCTCTGGCATATTGTAGGTGTTTAACTAATGTGCCCAACACTGTGCTAAGTATGTAAAAAAACAACAATCTCTGCCCTCAAGGGACATATATTTTAATTGGGAAAGACAGCATATATTGAGAAATATGATTGCTAAGGAGGAATGTTTAGGTCTAGGGAGAGTCAGTCACAGGGATGGTGACTGAAACCAAAGGACTGGAAACCTAAACATACAATAAATGTATAATTACAGTGATGACGCATAGAATATCAAAACATTAGGCACCAGGTCATGATTGGTGACATGTAGTGCTCTAAGTCTCACATGAAGTTTTTCAAGTTAACACTCTTATGGACAAAGAAGGAAGATTCCCATTCTGGTGCAATCTGGAAGGGTTAATGGAGATGAACTTTGACTTGGAAAATGGCTAGATCTAAAAAACTGAAGATGGGGGTGGAGAGGGACATTTGAGACAGAACACACAATGACCAAAGACAGTCTAGTGTAAATTGTTTATAAAAGGTTTAGCAAATAATCCAGTTTTCCTGGTAGAGTAAGTGAAAGGGAATATTAAGGCGAGACAAGCCTGGAAAGGTAAGAAAATTAGGGAAGCCTCTGCATGATCTCAAATCCTGAATGCATGCAGAAGCTACAGTGTGTACTCATATAGATCTTGGGGTCTACACAGCACTCCATAGACATGTTGACCAAACGAAGGAACCAAGCCCACTGCTTGAGCAACAAGAGCATGACATGACATCCCAAGACATGAGGGTGGGAGTCAGGGGTCCTGGATCACTGGTCCTTTCCTCAGCAGTCCCTTTGGTTTCTGTCCAGGTGATCTGAAGGACAGTGGAAGGGGCACAGTACTCGAGAATCATAAGTCCTGGGCTTAAGGGATGTAGTGGGTAGAACTTGCAAAGAAGCAGATTTCAATTAAAAAAAAAACCATTTACTAAGCATACAGTAAGTATACACTCTGAAAGGAACAGTGCTAGCTTCTAGGAATAAAAAAGCAAAAATTAGACTAGCTCTGCCCTCAAAGAGCTTACATTCTACTGGGTGGGAGGGGAAGGAGATAAGGATGTGTAAGTAAATACAAGGTATTGTATAGGTAAGTAAATACAAGAAGGACAAAGTACTCATCAGCAAAGGAGTCCAAGAAGGCTTCCGGGAGGAGTTGGCTGAACCTTGAAGGAAGCTTAAGTTTTGAGAGGCAGAGATGAGGAGTTAATTCATTTCAGGCAAAAGGGAATAGCTTATTGTCTAGACTGCCTACATTGTGGAGTGAAGGTAATACCCACTGAGAATTGTCTTTTACACTAAACACAATCAGAAGCCAATGAACAATTTTGAGTAGGGGACTGAGATGGATAGATACCTTCTTTTAAATTTAGTCACTGTTTTTAGGACAAAGTGTCAGGGGAAGAGACTGGAGGAAGGGGGGAGGGAACTGTGCTGCCCAACTGGAACTGGCCAGTTGGGTCCCCAGTGGGGCAGCTACTACTTCTCACAGGTTGTTGTTTGTCTTTTGTTCTCAAAGAGGACCATGACATCAAGAAGGTGATGCCATGACTTGCAAGTGAATTGGATTTAAGTGAGGAGGGCTGTGCAAAGTCACCAGCCTCATTTTCTCCTTAAGAGCCATCTGGGTCTGATGAGGATGGAATCTGGACACCAAAAAGGAAAAACCCTAGACTTTCCCACATGGCCAAATCTCTGGCGGTCCCTGAGGCTATAATCCCATCAACTGGCCTTTCCCGGTGGCTAAACCCAATCTCCTAATTCTCCCTTACTCTTAACCTAGCCTAGCCCTCCATTGTTTTACCTCCCTATGGCCCTTGGCTATTTTCCACCCTTAATCCTAGCTAGGCTCCATTCTCCCTTGGCCAAGAGGTCCAGGTCCTAGGCTTTCTGTTCACCCTAGTTTACTGGCCACTCCTATCCAGATCCTCCTTAGACCCTTCCTCCAGTCCCCCCAAACTACTTGGCCACTCCTAGATCCCTGTATATAAGGTCCATCTTGTCTCTATTAAGGTGCTCAGATTCTTATAATCTAGCCACTGCTCAGATTTTTACAATCCAGCCAATAGCTCATAGATGCTCAGATTCCTTAAGAGTCTGGCTAATATAGCGGATCTTTAATAAACCTTGTCTTTGGCTGAAAGAAGGCTTGGGTAGAATTCTTTTGGGCAGGACCCGAGTGTTGTGATCTCAGGGTTTCAACATCCCTAAACCTCTAGACCTCATCAGGTCCAGTGACAAGATATAGATCAGGATGACTAGAGATGCCCCTAGTAGAATTAGAAAGAAAAGGAGAATGGCTCTAGAACTGGGGGGCTTGTAGGAACCTCTATGAGGCAGACCAAGAAGGAGATGAGAACACTCCAGTGTGTGCTAGGAACAAAGACAGGAAATGAACTGTTAGGTGTGGGGGGAAAACCAATAAGTCAATTTGGCTGAAGCCTAGAATGCATGTTGAAGAGTAGTGGGAAAGAAATCTGTAGAGAGTAGCCGAAGCTATTTTGTGAAGGGCTTTAAATGTCAAGCTCAAGTTTCCTGACCAAACAGACCCAGTCCCCTTCATCCTTATGTAATTGGAATTACCCCATTTTAGCTTTGATACCTTAACTGGGTAAGAACACTTTTTAATTAAATCAAAAAATCAAGACTGAGCAGCGAACAGTGCCTGCATACCTTCAAATAATTGAAGCTATTATGTCAGAGACTGAGTTGGCCAGAAATAATGTATATAAAAGGAAAAAGCCATTTCAGAACTGGAGAGAGATTGTGAAGGTCTGGACTTGAGAGGGTGGAGCAAGCACAGCATTTCCAAGCACACCTTGGAGGAACAGAGATTTTAAGTAAATATTTACTCATGCCAAGCACTATGATAAACACTGGGAATACAAATGCAAGCAAAAACAAAGATGCCTTCTAGGAGCTTACATTCTAATGGATATAGCACATAAAAGGGAGCTGAAAAGGGAGGGGGTGCTAAATGCCAGGTGGCAAAGTAGTCTAGAGTCAGGAGCTAAAAGCATGACTGGCATGAGTATTTTCTCAAATGGAGGTTCTGAGGAATATCTCACACATCAGAGCCAGGAGACCCCTGGGGGTAAAGATGTCTCAAGCCTGAGAAGGCTGCTGGGGCAGAGTTGGAAAGTAGTAGGGAGAATTGACCTGCGGTAGAGAAGAGATGTCCAGAAGTGTCATTGGCTTCCCAGGCCCCTGAGAGAGGAGAACCTAGTTCAGCTCTTTTCCCAACTTCCCTTGCTGATGCCACTGATAATATAATGTAATCAGCTGTTCTGTTACCTAAATGTTTCCACTACATTGAATTTTGCCTCAGCCATTAGGAAGCCAGGAGTTAATTAGTGACAGATATAAACATAAGGTTAGACAGAGCCCAACCTCCCCTGAGATGTTAAGAATTTTCCTAACTGGGAGTTCAGTGTCATTAGGACTGAATTCAGAATTTTAAGTCTAAAATAAACTCCCTAAAGGTGAAATGGACCTTAGGGGCCATCATATTGCCTCCTAGCCTTAATATGAGCTAATAAGTATAACAAGGTGTTACACTTTAGAAAACCTTCACCAGTCACTACCATCTCTTTGAGTTATCATCCTGTATATCTCTTCCCTTTCTCAGTAAAACTCCTCTTAAAAAAGAAAAAAAAGTGGTTTACATTAGTTACCTCTACTTTGTCTCAACTCACTGACTTCTCAGCCCCTTGCAATCTAGTTTCTGACCTCATCGTTCCACTGAAACTGCTCTTTCCCAAGTTAATAGTGATTTCTTTATTGCCATATCTCAACTCTTTCCAAGTTTCCATAACACTACTTTATCCAGTTTCTTCT